AATACGAATGAAACCCTAAAAGATCATGGGCTTGAGCTGCAGCGCATCTTACGTCGTGAGCTCCTATTGCTCACGGCGTGAGCTCAACATAATTCAACATATTCATTTAATCACTCCTCACGTCATGACCCCTATATGGTCACGTCGTGAACCTTGGTTTTACCTAAAAACCATGCCTTTGACTCCTTGAAGTCCTAAATCGATCCGATCTGGAAACCGGGTGTTACACCAAGTTTTTTGGTAAACAGCCCACGACCGTCGAATTGCCAAGGAAATGAGTCGTTGGTTATCCAGGATTGCATTCACAACTCTTTAATTCATAGAGTATACGTCGATATAGGCAGCTCAGTCGATATAATATACAAGCATTGCTTTAAACAATTTCCCGAGGAACGGAGAGCAAATCTCCACCCAATGGCGGGAAACAGGGTTCACGGGGCATATAATATGGCCAATTAGGATAATACAATTGCCTCTATAACCATATGGTAACGATGCCAGAAGAAATAAAATCATCCTTGCTAGAGTTCGTAGTAGTGCAACACCCGACAGAACACAACATTATCCTGGGAAGGACAGTCCTGTTTCACTTTCAGGCCATATCATCCACAGTTCACGGGGTAGTCAAGTTCAATAACTGGAAGTCCCAATGATTGTAATGGAAGAAAGTCGTGTGAAGCATTGGTGCTACCAATTTATGGAAGTCACCGAGATCACAAGAGAAACGAAGCGAAAGCAGGAAGACATGACAAAAGAAAAGGAAATAATCAACAGTAATTATCCCGAGCAGGAAACAAAAATAGGAGTAGAGCTACCCTCGGACATACAGCAAAAGCTAATATGGCTGTTGAAAAAGTAAAATCACGTGTTTTCTTGGACAGCCGCGAACATGGTGGGGATAGACAAAAAGCAAATCGAGCATGGGCTCAACATACAACTAGGGGCAAGCATAATAAAACATAAAAATCATGGCCAAGTAGGAGAACGGAACAAAACAATCAATCTGGAGGTAGCAAAGCCTGTAGATGCGAAAATATTACGTGAAGCCTTTTTCCCCGTATGGATAGCCAATCGAGTTATGGTCAAAAATAGTGATGGGAGCTGGAGAATGTGCATAGATATTCAGACCTAAATAAGGCTTTAAATGGATGTGTTTTATCGATGCATATAAGGGATACCATCAGGTGTTAATGAAGAAAGAGAATGAAGAGAAAACGACATTCTATACCGACCATGGGACATTTTGCTACACAAACATCCCCTTTGGACATAAGAATGCCAGAGCTACCTACCAGCGCCTCGTCGGCAAAGTGTTCAATGATGAAATCGGTAGAAACATATAGGTATACATAGATGACATTGTGATAAAAAGCCTACACATGTCTTAAAGATATCGAAGAAACACTTAAAACCGTGGAGAAGGTACGCATGAAATTAAACCCAACAAAATGCACATTCGGTGTACAGGATGGGAAATTCTTGGGATATTATGTAACGAAAGAAGGAATCCAGCCAAGCCTAGAGAAAGTTTTTGAATTACTAGACACAACGGAGCCAACGAGTTTAAAGGAAATGTAGGCTCTGAACGTGAAAATCCTAGCCCTGGGACATTTCATCGCACGATCAACCGACAAAGCAATGCCATTGTTCCAAACATTAAAAGGACGTGTTGAAAAGCGTAATTTCCGGTGGACCCCCCGATGTGGAAGGCGCTCTTCAATAATTGAAAAAGGCTCTTCGACAGTTCCAATCTTGTAAAGCCCCATCCCAGGAGAAACCTTGTCGATATACCTATCTGCAACAATAGATGCAATCTCGGTTGTGTGGACGGTCGAAAGACATAATAAACAATTACATATATACTTCATTATTAGGACGCTACAAGGGGCAGAATTGAATTACCCCATGGTCAAGAAAGTGGTACTGGCACTAGTATATGCTGCTAGGTGATTGCGTCACTACTTCCATGCCCATCGGATAAAGGTCTTGACGATGTAACCCCTCAAAAGCATTTTGCTGAAACCTGAGAAGTCCGGAAGATTAATAAAATGGGCCATTGAAGTGGGGGGAGAACGGCATAGAGTATCAACTCAGAAAAAGTATAAAGGTTCAGGCTCTAGCAGACTTCTTAACAGAAGTACCATACAAAGAATGCAACCCAATCGCCATGCGACCAAGAGAGAACGACACAACCCTGACCAACGACCCTATATGGATATTGCACACTGATGGGGCTGCAAGCAAAGAATGATCGGGGGAGGGGTTTATACTTACTAATCCCGAAGGAAATGAGATAATGTATGCATTACAATTTGCTTTCAAAGCCACCAACAACAAATCTGAGTACGAGGTATTGCAGACAGGGTTAAGGCTGGCCTGCAAAATGGGAGTGAAAAACTTAAGATTCATGACCGACTCGATGCTGGTCACGAACCAAGTAAATGGAGTGTGTGATACAAAGAACACTAGAATAAAGAAATACACGACATCAGTAAGCTATATGGCGGTATCATTTGAAAGTGTAAAAATAGAACAAATCAAGATAAGTGCAAACAGGCAGGCAGACGTATTGAAAAATTTGGAAACTACAACATACATCCACTTGTCAAAAAGGTATTGGTGGAAATACTCAGCACTCGAAGCATAGATGAAATGCAGGTTAACTTCGTCACAATAGGAGATAAAGGATGGATGGCTCCCATGTACAATTACTTACTTCATAAATTGTTTCCAAGCAATCCAAATGAAGAACTCAAGGTAAAGATCAAGGAACCATAATTTATCATCAAAGATGGATAGGTATATAGAAGAGGATACTTGATGTCATGGTTAAGATGCATAATGGCAGCAGAGGGAGCAAGTATCATCAAAGAAGTACATAAATTTGAAGCGGGAGCACACGAAGGTGCAAGAGCCCTAACTGGCAAAATATTGCGTATGGGTTTCTATTGGCTGAATATGCAAAAAGAACTAGAGGAAATTACAAGGAAGTGTGTGGAATGTCAAACTTTCTCTCCAGTACATCGGTTACCATCCACACCGCTTATGAGTATTTTTAGCCCTTGGCTATTTCATCAAGGAGGAATTTACATTGTGGGTCCATTCCCAGAAGCCCCAGGAAGGGTAAAATTCTTGATAATCGTTATCGACTATTTTACAAAATGTATTGAGGTGGAGCCAGTAGCAACCATTACAAGAAGATCCATGATCAAGTTTATGTGAAAAAACATCCTAACACGCTTTGGAATGCCAAAAACCTTAATTAGCGATAATGGACTGCAATTTGCTGAAAATTCGTTTCGAGGATGGTGTTAAGATAGACATATCGAACATCACTTCACCTCAGTGGCTCACCCGAAGGGGAATGGGCAAACATAGGTGTCCAATAAACCATTGGTAAATGGAATAAAGAAACGATTATGTAAAGCCAAATAAAATTGGGTTAAGGAGCTCCCTAGCGTATTATGGTCCTATCGTACAACTCCACGAACCATCACGAAGGAAACACCTTTCAACCTTGGATTTGGTACAGAAGCAGTAATGCCACCATAATTACGTATATGATCGATTCGTATGACATGATTCAATAAAGAAGAGTCTGATAGGGACCTTCGACATAACCTAAATCTTCTCGATGAGAAAAGGGAGAGAGCTCAATTGAACCAAGTGATATACAAATACCACGTCAAGAACTACTATAACAAACACATGAAAGGGCGAGACGTGAAAGTTGGAGATTTGGTTTTAAGGGCGAACGAGGTCAGTCACAGTGAGCCAATAGGAAAGTTGGGCCGCACATGGGAAGGGCCGTATAGAGTAACCACAGCACACCATAACGGCTCCTACGAGTTGGAGACCATGGAAGGACTAGCAATACCCCATACTTGGCACATTCAACATGTGAAAAAGTTTTTTATATAAAAAAAATATATTGGGGTGGGGGGGTGGGGGGCGAATGAGGCATTACATTAGAGGAAATCAAAATTCAGAGGTGTCGTTTTCTTTGTAATATGTTTTAAGCATTACTTGAGTTAAAAACACCCATGGCTGATTACCTTGGGCAGTCGCTTTTTGTGTTTAGTCTACAATTCATTCTTTTCGTCCTTATTATAGTTCAAAGGATTATAACCTTTACCAAATAGAGTTTCATGGTTCACATACTCAGCTTTTCATGGCAACAAGTAGTTTAGCCCTGCTTAGTCCCGGTTCAAAGGATTATAACCTTTACCTAAGAGAGTTGCATGGTTCAAATACTCAACTCTGCATGGCAACAGGCAGTTTAGCCATGCATAGTCCCCGTTCAATGGATTATAACCTTTACCAAAGAGAGTTGCATGGTTCAAATACTCGACTCTGCATGACAGCAAGCAATTTAGCTTGCTTAGTCCCGGTTCAAAGGAATATAACATTTACTAAAGAGAGTTGCATGGTTCAAATACTCAACTCTTCACGGCAACAGTCAGTTTACCCTGTCTAGTTCTGGTTCACACGATTATAACCTTTACCAAAGAGAGTTGCATGGTTCAAATACTCAACTCTGCATGACAGCATGCAGTTTAGCCCTGCCTAGTCCTGGTTCAAAGGATTATAACCTTTACCAAATAGATTTGGATGGTTCAAATACCCAACTCTACATGGCAGTAGGCGTCTTAGCCTTCCTTGACTTGGTTTCAAGGACTAAGGTCTTTATTTGAAAAGTCACACGGCGATACAACCCAACCACCTCCTTTTCTTTAAAAGAAAAGAAGATAGGAAAAGAAAGGAAATGGTCATATTAACAAAGAACAAAGAACCTAATAGCGATAGAGCTAGAGAAATTGACACATCAAACAAAATCTTGTCTTAGTACATGAAGAAAAGAAACCATTGTTTAGTTACAATCCAAAACCTGGCATACCAAGGTCACGCAGGGCCGTAAAAAAAGAAAGAGTACTTTTTAATCATCACACTCATTCAGGGAAGCACAATAGGAACGATGTCCCAAAAACAAGAAATACTTCTCATTTACCTGTACCTCCATCTAGGCCAATAATCTTTTCAGTGCCACTGGGACCCGCTCCCCCACTATCATCATCCGCACAAAGTTGATGAAGGTTATTAATGTCCATAGATCCTAAATTCATGAGGGTGTTGTAATCATACGTGATGAATGATTCAATGGAATCCACCCTCTCTCCAGTGTGGCTGGAAGTAGAGTTAGCAACATGGGGATCAAATCTCCCAACAACAACTTCCTTACACAATGCCTCCCTCGCAGATTCTTCACCTGCAGCCCAACACATATGCTTGAACCGTCCAACACCCTGAAAAATTTCAGGAAGCTCAATAACCTTTTCCACAATCCTAACAACACCCTCCTTGATAAGCCAAACCAATTCGCTTCCAATTCGGGCCACTTCTGCTTCGCTGTCAAACAACAACTTATCCTTATCCAACAACTCTCTTTCTAGGATTTCCACTCGGATACTCAAACCTTTATTCTTCTTAAGAGTATTGTCGAGTTCCGCCTACAGATTAGCACACCGCTCCTCCAGGTTCATATTCTTGCCAACGATTAACTCCAACTGCTGATGAGAAGACTCAACCGCAGCCTCCAGTGAGGCCACATGCTGCTGTGTGCTCATTTCATTAGAACGAAGTTTGACTACCACACTCTTAAGGGGTATGATGTGCCGAGCTCCATTACGAATGAAGAAGGCGCTTTAGGCAGAATCAAAATCCACAAAGTCAACCGTCCGTTCATCCAAAAGGCCTCCAGTTCAGCAACATTTTCCTTAGGGAAGGCATGGTGAGAAAATTCCACAGTGACCTCTTGGCTGGAAATGCGGGATTCATCAGTAAGATTCCATTTGGGGGCAAAGATTTTGTTGGATGAATGATTTTTGCATTGAATACCAAAAATGTGATCATCATAGTCAGACATCTCTGAAGCAGCAAAAGATTTGGTTTGATTTGACAATGTACATTGCGCCGGAGTAGTTTCAGATGGATCCTTATCAACAGTGGGCTTCTTAGAGGCCCCTTGCACCCATTCAGACTGGTGAATGTCATCATCATGGATGTTTATAACTTCCTCACCAGAGGGTATCAGTGTGGCAACAAAACTAGTCGCAATTTTCCTATGACGAGAGCGGTCTGTAATGGATTTTACCTTCACAGCACTAGGAATACATTCCATACTCAACAACCATCTTATCCATAACTTATGAGACACAACACCGGTCAAGATTCCCTATTTGTTGTCTTCCACACATTCTGATCCTTCACGATTTCTGAGAGGGGGGGCTCGAGAGCAAGAATGCTAGACGGATTATCAGATGAGGGCGTGTCCCCGGTAGCAACCCAATGTGAAGGAGCAGAAATAGTGGGAGTGGGAGTGACAAGAGCCAACATCCATCTGGGAATAGGAAGGGCGTCATATAAAGTGACAAGGCGGAACTCCAAAACCCCCTTGAATTTCTTCCCAAGCACATCAGAAAAAGACAACACTCGTTCCTCCCCTACAATACAAACGCCATAATATTTTTTTAAAAACAGGGGAAGAAAAAGTGGGAGAAGAGATAGGTGTAAAATAAGAAACAAAAATCATACCCCCATTAACAACATAGAACTCAGGCACCTTCCGGCGGTAACGCCATTCAGTGAACAAGGAACAACAATGAAACTATTCAGTAACAACAATGAAACTCAAGGATATACTCAAGTAACTCTTCAGGAACAACAATGAAACTATTCAAAACATGAATGCTTTCTTGATCACAGGGAAAAATTTTGGGGGCGCTATTGCAAGTTGCCTAAGTACGAGAATGGGGACATCTAACTCGACACTCGTCAACCCAAAACCAGTGACCCTGTCATTTATTCGGACAGCTCTTCCCATCATCAATAAGGAAATGGGTGTTCTTGCTAGCATAGAAAGTGAACTTGTAACTAGTAGTAGTGAACCATAAAATATTCTTGAAAACCCAGATATTGGGAAGAAAACCTTGAGACCGATAAAGCATCTCAAAGGCCAAGATCTTGGTCATGACGTTATGAGTAAGCTCATATATGTTGACTCCATTTTTATGCAACACCTCATCCAGGACGTCGGTGGTTGGAAGCCTATAACTAGTGTCAAAGGTATTGACAAAAACGCAGACCTTCCCTAGAGGTGGTTCTATAAATGAAGCCCCATCCAAAGGAATCAGTATTCCATCCTCTGGCTGAAAGCCATATTTTTTGCGAAGAGCTTCAGCGTATTCTGGAGTTGGCATCACACCAAAAGCAGAAATCATGTTAATAGGGAGGGCCATCTTTAGAAAATACAGAACAAATACGAAGGATGAATATTGACTACAGAGAAATGGATGAAAGATGAAAAGGGCCAAGTATTTATGGAGAAGATCAGGAGGTAATTAAGAGCCTTGGAAAAGTAGACATATCTGTGGAAGTTAAAGTTGCTCGATGATTAATAAGGCGACACGTGTGACTTGGAGTCCAGAACATAATTGCTGATTGCGCTACGACATTAATACTAGACTTGGGGCTTGATAACATACCATATGCCTATTCGTCATGCGTGACTTTTGGATTATATAACAACCTGTTTCAAATCGTTTCAAAATTTGGAGCCGTGACCCAAAGAGAAAGTATCATAAGGCTCTTGGATTTGGGAAATAGAGGTTTAGACCCATTTGGATGTGGGTAATGTAGATTATATGATCCAAGGGTTCAGTTTGTCCTTTGGAGTCAATGGATAAAATGAGAAAAGTAATGTTCCAGACTTCTTTTATGAATTATGGATTTTATTTCGATGTGTTTTAAGTCAAAAGTAATTATATAGGTTTGTAGAGCTCCTCGATACCTTTCCTTGGATATAAAGATCATCGAAATCAGAGTTGAAACGAATAAGTTATGACCGTTTGAAGTTAGGACGGTTTGGGGTTAAGCCGCGTACGTTGGCGTACGGGGAAGTATGATGGGCGTACCAGGAGTATGTTGGGCGTACGCGATCAGTGCCCGAACCCTATTTTCATGGTTTGAGCCCTATTTAAGCTCCTTAACTTCCCAAAACCCATTACATTCTCATCCTCCACCTCTCCAACACCCTCCCATGAAAACCCTTTCCCTAGTTTGAGCCTTTTGAGAAAAAGAAAGTGATATTGAGTGCTTTGGAGTGTTCTTAGTTCATCTTAGAGAAGAAGGTGTTCTTTGGAGAAGTGTTGGTTGCATTGGAGCTTGTATATCCAGACTTTGTTCACCTTGATCTCTCTTCTATAGGTATAAAATTTGAATCTTGATTATGCATTTGTTAGATCCAACTACTATTTTGGATGTTATGAGCTTTTGGTCATTTTATTGCATAAAGTTTAGATCTTGAAAGTTTGTGACCTTGTTATGGATAAATTTGGAAACTTTATCCATCTAAACATCATTATGATTCAGATATGAAGGTTAAAGACTTGGACTTAATGGATTAAGTTGAAAAAGATGCACTTTTGGTCCCTTTGATACTTAAAGGCTAGATCTTGGTGGTTTGGACCATTCTAATGGATAAATGTAAGGTCCTGAAACGGGTCTTTACCAACGATCAAGCAACAAACAATCAATAGCAATCACAATGGAAGTAGAAGAAGTAAAGAAATCAAGCTTGCACACGTTTATTGCATAAAACGTCTGGTACAACTCGACAGAATAGACCGTGAACTCTATGGCATCAACAACCTTACAAAGACCTACAACTCCTCTATTTATACTAGACTTGGGTCGGAAACTGGGTTTACGGCCGTAAACAGGCTTACGGCCGTAAAGTCACACTTGGGCCGTAAACTGCTAAACAATCACCAAAAACACACTAAAGACTCATAATGAACTACTACAATGAAAGCCTAGACCAAACCATTAACTGGACCCTTCAATCTCCCCCTTGGTTTGGTGCTAGCTTGGACTCAGTTTTTATCAATCACCAGCACATCAGATTTTCCCATAGCTCCATTCCACATCTCCTTTTGGATAATTTCAGCAACCATTGCAGTGTATTCCTTAGCAGCAGACTCATAAAGATCTTCAGCCACCTTTATCTGATGATGAGAGAGTTGATGTATATCCCACCTACCAAACTGAAGCAGATCCCTCTTGTCATATAACCGAATACATCCATGTTCAAGTTTGATGACAGCAGAAGCTGTTGTTTCATCAAACACCCGGTATTGCATGGATTTGAGAGATCGATCGGGCTGATTCTGAAGGACAGGAATCTGCTTTACTTGAGCAGTAGCGGGCCACATCACTGACCAAAGAGGCTGATTTGTTTTAGGATCAATGACACTTGGGTAAATCTTGATGATAGACTCTGCAGTCTTCATTAAGGGAAAGCCCTTAGCCACTTGATCTTCCAAAAATGCCTTGAGCTGAGTCGCTTTGGGTTCATTTGATGGATTTGAGAAAGGAGCCTTAGACAACTCCGTAAGATCAACCCTAGTGAAGGAGTGAAAATCGTGAGCATCTTTGTACAGTTCAGTATTGCCACTCTTTCTTCTCACGATCCACATGTTCATAGTGTCATGGAATCCCCACGAAATGATCCCTGACCTATCACCATAAACGTCTCTAAAACGATTTCCTCCCAGATCCGTAAAGGTGATATTTGGTTGATCCCCGGGAGCGTTCTGATCCGAGCTCCATTTGAACAAAAATTGACCCTTTTCAGCAGACTTGGCTTGTTTGGCACGTTTTAAAGCCACTACATTTGGAGCCTGCGCCGGTTCTTTGTCAAATCGATCGACAATGGTAGTTGTTCTTGTGGGAGGTGGAACCACGGGAGCATCTTGATTGGGAAGATAGACCCTTGGCTCATCGACAGATGACTTGAATCTATCGCCAAGTTCTTCTTCCAGCTTCTTCTTTAAGTCATAATAGTTGGCGGTCAATAAGCCGAAATGCGTCTGAAGATCAGTTATTTGTTTCGCCTTCAGAGCTTTATCTTCTAGAAGTTCAGCAACGTGAATGTTGAGCTTAGCATTTTCAGTTTGAAGGTCTACAACCTTGATATCCAGCTCAATATTTTTCTGATCTAAATCAATATTTTTCTGATTCAGCGCATCGATCTCCTTCTGAAGTCCAAGTATTGAAGGATTCTCTTCTCCTGAGCTGCCATCCCTAATGGAAATTCCTTTGCTACGTGAGGGAGGCGTTGTGAATTGTTCTTCGGCCAAATGCCTGGCTAGCCTTATAGAAGCAGCATCATGGTCTGGCCTGGGAGGAGAGAAACCTGTGGGGAAGGAAGAGCCACCAGCTTCATAGAAGGTGATAGGGCCTTCACTGACTGGTTCAGATGAAACAATAACGGGAGTAGTTGTTGGTGGAGTTGTAAAGCTTTGAAATACACCCGAATCAGGAATTCCATGTCTTGGGTCTAGTCTTCGTCTCTTTGTTGGAGGTTGAGAGGCCTGTGTGGCCGTGTGATCACTTTCCAATGGCTCAGATGTAGGTAGAACAACATCAAGGGGAGGAGTCCCTGACACTGTTACCATAGGAGTTGCTATTTCCGCCGTTGGATTGGTAGGAGGAGGCGTGGCTTCGTGAACGTCTTCGTTTTCCCTTATCTCTGTTGCTGTATGAGCAACTTCATCGATATTGTCAAGTATTGTGTTGAGGATTTCACCAGTTATGAAGTCTTCATTACTACCAAAGTTGAGAGGGATCTCATCATTATCAAAACCGGTAAGATCAAGATCTTCATACATATCAGACTCTGTTCTGCCCTTTGAAGACTCCTCACTATAATCACTTTGAATATGAACATATGTCAGTTCATGTTCCTCAGCTACTTGAGCATCAGTAGTTGGAATTACTTCTTCTTCAGCACGATCTGACACTGTAATATCATCACCTTCTGAAATTACTCGCTCAGAAGAAGTGGGCTCAGATGACATTTTGTCTGACGTTCCATGAGATTCGGAGGATTCATCCATCTCAGCAAATTTTCCGAATTTCACTAGAGGATGCAATCCTTGGAAGACAACTTTGCCCTTCCAATTCTGCTTAATGAGACCAACCGTGTGAGGACCTAACGATTTCATATCAAGAGTCTCTCCCTCTTTGACCGTATCTGGGAACTGAATATCGATGAATATCTGGATGAACCTGGGATACATCAAGAAAGTATCCCGGTGGACTGCATTAATGTTGACGACA